ATCTCTCTCTTGGCATTCTTTGAACAATCATGGAGGTGCTGAATCATTCGATCATATTCCTCATCAATGTTGTCAATGACAGCATCTTCCCATGTTGCAGCAACAGAGTCAAAGAGCTCCCAGTTGGTGGTCGTTCTGGGAGTTCTCTTCTTAAACTTTGCATTCTTTTCTCCCCATTCTGTGAGGTAGAATTTTGTACAAAGGAGACGATGGTCCAATCCCGTTTGGAATTTTGGGACAACAGCAACATCGGTTAGGCCAAACCGCCGATTGAATATGATGTGGTCTATTTCATTGTGGAACCGTCACCGGAAGACTCCCATGTCCAATGTTTAGATTCAGCCTTTTGGAACTGTGAGTTACCATGGATGGTCTTGATTGACATGATGAACTCAGACAGTCTGTCACCCTGTTCGTTCCATTCTAGGCCATGGGTCCTGATGTGGAGTTCATCGGCTGATCTTCTTGGTCCTATCTTGGCATTAAAATCACCAACAATGATCTTGTAGAAGGTGTGGTCTTCTCTATAGAACTTCTCCAGCTCCATGTAGAACTTCTCAATTTCTCTTTCACCATAATTGGATGTTGGTGCATAGACAACAAAGATAGAAACTCCCGGCAGTGAGCCACATCTATTCAAGTATAATCGTCCGATTCGGGTTGTTAGGCATTCGAATGAATCAATGCTCATGCCTAAGTTCGTGTTGACAAGGATACCGACACCACCGACGCCTCTTTTGTCACATGTTCCAAGGAACAGTTCTTCTCCAGTGTCGAAAATGGCGTGATGTGATTGATGTCTTCTCATTTCGGTCAGACCAATGACTTGGGTGATAAAGGTAAAGGTAAAGGCCCTCCCGTTGATCGTCGATTTGCTCGAGCGGGCCCAGTAACGTCTCCATTGGAGACTTTGTTGTTACTGTGTCTGGCATATCGAATACTCTCGGTAGCTTGCCGGGCTCTCCGAGAGACTTGGGTGATAGCAGGCAATATTTGTCTCAACTGCAGTGTGTGTCCTTCTATTAAGCTTCCTAAGGTGATGGGAGGTGGTTTCAAACAGGGATTGGATTGTTGCCATATGACACAAGGGGAAAAATGTTCCACCCAGATTCCTAGGGAACTGGTTATTTCTATCCTAAAGGGTTAGGATGCTCGTTCTCCACGACCATGGTACTGCCACTGCTGCTCTGATAGAAACAACACTCAACCTCTTTCACACAGAACCCAGGCCAGAGGGGCAGGGCCCCGCAGGCACAGTGAGTAATCGTGAGGAAGTGACTAGAGGGATGCTTCCATGGAAATGAGCCAATACACAAGTTCCTTGGGAGCCAGTGAGATATAGATACATAATGAAGACACTGCTCAAAGCTCCAAAAGATACAGGTAAGACAACAGGTTTGGGTATAAAAAAATTCCCCAGGTCATGGGAACAAGGCTCAGATTGAATTCAAACTTTTCCTTAGACCACCCTAATTAGGGCTGCTTGCCTCAGAGGGGATAATGGTGTGAGAGTTTGTATATCCTTCAGAACTTTCTGTTCCTGAGCATAAACATACAAAATAGGGTCTACGTGGACTTATTTATGTATAGTGAGTGCCACACCTTTCTATATGCAGAATTGCAATTAATCTTAGCAGATACTATTGTGACCTTCGAGATGATGACTTTAAATCCCATCTGTATATCATGTTTAATATCTACCTTCCTATCTCCTAATCAATCCATCTTCAAACCGAAGGAGTCTCCCTTGATTTGTCACAATGACGAATTCTCTGATAGCCACCAGAGAATGCGAAAATCAATTTATGGTATTCTTATTGAGTGCTAATGTATTATTTCTCATGGCATGCTGCACTACCACTAGACATAAACATGTCCATCTAGACCCTATCTTTTATGTTTATAAAAGATAAAGGGTGTTGAACTACCAAGAATAAAACTTGGTTAAGTTTTGCAAAAGGAGAATGTACAATTCCTATGTGAGGAATACAGGCTTAGGAAGAAACTGATTCACCTAATACCCTCTCGGAGAGTTAAATATATATTCTAATTGTTTGTCCAGACAGCACCGAGCTGACAGATTTCAGCATGAAGAAGCTGGGAAAAAAATATTAGTTTTGGAGTCCAGCAAATGGAAACTCAATTCTTGTACTCTTGGACAAGAGTGCCAAGCTTTCTAATGCCAACTCACCCTTTCTGTGCAGGGTAATATCAGTCAAACTCTCTAGTGCTAACTCACCCTTTCTGTGCAGGGTAATGTCAGCCAAGCTCTCCAGTGCTAACTCACCCTTTCTGTGCAGGGTAATGTCAGCCAAGCTCTCCAGTGCTAACTCATCTTTTTTGTGCAGGGTAATGTCAGATCCCGCTCTGGATGCTGTGCCCAGAGAAGGCACTTCAGGGAGGCCCGATTCATCTGAGGGTGATTTAGTTGTAAGTGAACTACAGCCAATGGTCCGTTTACTGAACCCATCAGGAATTGAAACTGCTATGAACAGTTAAAAAATTGCTCAGCCAAGCATATCCTGCATGCTACATTATCAAAAACATGGTCATTATTTTCTTTACTGGTTTCTCTCAGATTCTTCATTTTGGCAGGTCTTGAACAAGTACTACTACATCCACCCAAAGGGTTGTTATTTATTTTTGTCATTTTTTGGCATTGTCCTATTTAATGCTTTAATTTTTTTCTTTTCTCTTTTTTTTTTTTTTGGGCTTTTTGGGTCAAACCTAGCGACGCTCAGGGGGTTACTCCTGGCTCTGTACTCAGTAATTATTTCTGGTGGTGCTGGGAGACCATATGGAGTGCTGGGAATCGAACCCAGGTCAGCCGCGTGCAAGGCAAACGCCCTACCTGCTGTAGTATCACTCCAGCCCAAATGCTTAAATTCTTTAAAAATTTTTGAAATTTTCTTAACTGAATCACCGTGAGAATCACAGTTCCAATAATGCTGCAATTCTTGATATGGGATATTTTCCAGATGCTTAGAGATGTGAATATCCTTTGGGTTTTTTCTGCTCCCTCACGAAACGGCCCCCACGTTTCTTCACTCGATCCATTTCCAAGCTTGTCTTCTCAACTGTCCCCGCTGTCCTCTTCTGTCCTCAGGCCTGCTAAGATGGCCGGCTGGCAAAGAAATATCCCAGGAACCTGGGAACGTCAGGCTGCTGTGTGTTCGTTCCTCTGGTCCCGTTCCAGGAGGTCACCTCAGAGCCTCAGACAACTTGCACCCCAAAGTTACCGGCTGTGACTTACGGCCCCAGAATGTCAAGAAACCTTCCCTGATGTTGCTTGTCCTAACTTGAAGCCTCTTCAGCTGCACTGACAAGCAGCCCCGCAATGCTTTCTCCTCGAGAAAACATTTCCTCCTTCTGAAGATACTTTCCAAAGGTTAAATTAATTCATCAGGACCGGCCAGAGTCTCACCTTTTGTTTTCTTTTAATTATGCAGTGGAACTGGGGGGCGGGGGGAGGCGGTCTGATTCCTCATTTGAATAAATGTTTATGGAACTGACCATGCAGTTCAAAGTCTGGAGGAGTCAGAAGAGGCCCAGCTGGGAGGCAGGGAGGTCAGAGCAGGTGCTGGCAGCTGCCGAGACATCTTGGCTGTCAGCTTCAGGCCCGAGGTCACTGCAGGTGCCTGGGTACCTCGCTCCCACCCCTGCATCGCCGCATCTAGTCCAGAGCCACTGAAAGCAAGGGTGCACTGAGAACAGAATCCTCTGTAAGTGGCTTCCCCCAAGATATTGATCAAGGGAAAATGCAGCCAAGCAAAACAATGATAACCCAGTGGGGAATGGTCACTGCACACAGTGTGGGATGGGGAGGGAGTGGCCACGACTGGCCCTGGCTCACATCAGTGGCCGCACCAGCCATGGGAGTCCCAGTGCTCAGTACCAGGAAACGCGGGTCTCAGCCAGGCTGGGCAAGAGCAGCCTGACCTCACGGCAGCCCCCAGGAAAGGCCACGCTCCACTGAAGCAAGGCAAGGAAAGCAGATGACCAGCAAGACCTTCATTTCTTTCTTTTTTCTTTTTGGGTCACACTCAGCGATGCTCAGGGGTTCCTCCTGGCTCATGCACTCAGGAATTATTCCTGGCGGTGCTCGGGGGACCCTATGGGATGCTGGGACTCGAACCCGGGTTGGCCATGTGCAAGGCAAATGCCCTCCCTGCTGTGCTATTGCTCCAGCCCCGGCTTTCATTTCTGTTGGGAAGAAGCATCCGAGAAGAAAATTCCTGCTTAGGGCAGATGAGCCAAGACAGGGCCGGACGCTGGGAGGAGCCTTTATTTCATTCATTCATTCCCAGCTTAGGCCAGATGCCCAGCGCCTGGCATGCTATTTTTACATGCTTGGAGGGGGGGAGAGGACCTCTAAGGGGTGCTCAGGCTGGCCTTGAGGTCTGCCTCTAGCTTGCTGAGCCCTTTACACTGTTGAAGTCTCTTTATCATAACTCAATTATATCATCATTACCTACTTGGTATTTTCTAGAGACAGTCGAAGAACAAACACACCTTAATCCTAGGAGCTGAGGAGACAGTTTGGCCCCTCCGCCACTTGAGCCCCCGCCCCCTGCCTCACACACACCTCCGGCTGGTTCCTACAGGCTTCATATGGAATTTCAGTTCATCTTCTAAAACGTCATTTTCTTATCTGACAGTAACTGGTAACTGCATTCCACTGTGATTCCTCTTGCTCCAGGAAAGCATGTTTTTGTTTTTGTTTTTTTTTTCCCCTCTGAACTTCTCATGAGTCGTTATTTTTATCCTGTTTATGTTGGCTGGCCGTCTTTCTGTTCCTGAGTACCTGGAGCGCTGCCCAGCGAGAGTCAGCACTTAACCTGGAAGCATCCTGCTCTAGCACAGTGAATCAGGAGGAAATCCCGCCTCCCACACCCACTGCTAATTACCATACTACTACAAATCTGCCCCTTGCATCATGCGCCCAGCACTGGCTTGCTCTCCCCAGCTCGCCCTCCTGCAGCTGGAGTCTCCTGGACATCATGCCTGTAGACGACAGAGATCCTCAGGGACACAGAATGGCCGGGAGGCAGCGGCTCATCTACTCCCTGCTGTCAGTAGCTGGGGTCTTGTCCCTGTTCTGCTGCTTCCTTGAATTGGGCAAGACCTTCTTCCCGCTCAAGGTAAGGAGATGACAGTTCCTCGGGTTGCTCTCTGCCAGAACCCTGTTTCCTTCGTTAGCTGGTGACTGTCAGGGTCACTAAGGACTGTTGTTGAAGGTCACTGGGAGAGTCACATGGGGCTCAGGTGCATGTCCCTGATAGGGCAAGCACTTATTTATTTATTTATTTTTGCTTTTTGGGTCATACCCAGCGATGCTCAGGTGTTACTCCTGGCTCTGCACTCAGGAATCACTCCTGGCGGTGCTGATCCTATGGGATGCTGGGAATCGAACCTGGGTCGGGATCCTATGGGATGCTGGGAATCGAACCCGGGTCGGCCGTATGCAAAGCAAGTGCCCTCCCCGCTGTACTATCACTCCAGCCCTGGGCAAGTATTTTGGATAGAAGGTATTAGCGAGTATTTGCTGCAGAACTGAGTTACCAGAGATAACAGTCTCAACCACGCAGTTGACAGGTGCCCATCAGGTATGGCCTTTCTTTCTGGAACTGCTAAATCCTCTTGGTGGAATAGAGGAAAAAAAGGGGGAGTGGAATGAAAAAAAAGTATTGGGGGGGGCATAAAACATGACACTTGTCCTCAGGGAGGACACATGCCCTGGTCTTACTGGGGGGGGAGAAAACATTTGTAAAAGAAGGTGAAGAAGGAAAAGAAGGTGTTTCCAGGGATGTTTGAGGGAGAGAAAAGAGCTTTGAGCTATGTTATAGGAAGACCCAGGGTTGGGTTCTTGGTCTTTCGGTAAGCCAGGGCGTGAATTCGAGAAGGACATCTACTCTCTCTGGTTCTGTTCTCTCACCTGCACTGAGAGATGTGTTCCTTCACTGCCCTTTCCGACTCGGATATGCGTCAGACCATTCATCAGGGAGAGAGAGAAAGAGAGGGATCTCATGATTGTGTTAAGACTCTTAAAGAGGGGCACGGAACTGGAGCCATAGCACAGCAGGGAGAGCGTCTGCCTTGCACATGTCTAACCCGGGTTCAATCCCCGCCACCCCATGCCTGCCAGAAGTGATCTCTGAGTGCAGAGCCAGGAGTAAGCCCAGAGCACTGTGGGTGGAGCCCAACAAACAAAACAGAAAAGAAGCAAGAGAGGGGCAGTATCTTCGGGCTGGAGGGTCAGGGATGGGGGTCGTGGGTAAGGAGGGTGCAAGGCGCACGCAGACGCTTCCCAGGAGTGACAGTCGTGTTGGGGGGCTTGTTCTGAGAAACCCACTAGTTCTTAGGAGCTTCTGATAGTTGGCTGCACTGAAAAATTAGAAATGCTTCCATTTGGGACTGAGCTCAATCCCGAGGCCCTGGGAGAACGAGGTGGAACAGTGTCCCCTCTGAGTGTGGCACTCAGTTCAGTGACAGCAGGACTGTTTATTTATGGCCAGTGATGGGTCCAGATACGCATTTTCGACTTAAGTACTGCAAAGCCATTGAGCGAAAGGCAGCCAGAACCAACCGTAGTCACGGCTGGTGTTTATTTTGCTACCGCAAATGTAGCTCTGGCCAAATGTTAACCCAAGGCCAGTGCCCTGTGTCATGAGAGCTGTGGCTTGGGCACGCAGCGGGGTCATGGTTTATCACCCCCCACTATCCTGGGATGCTTCGAGCACAAGTGTGAACCACCAGGACCCAGGAAGCAAAGGACTGGCAGGCATTCTGGGTGTTCAGATTTTGAAGAAAGGAGAGAGTGAGAAGAAGAATAACTCGAATCTGGAAGCATTTGCCTTGCTACAAACCATCTCCTGTGTGATGATGAGTCAGATGTCCCCTACGAACACAGGCCGGTTCCAGGGTGTCTGGAACCAGTGCAGGGGCAAAGCAGATGTCCTTCCCAGAGGGACACAGTGACTCTGGGAAGAGGGATTCAGAGGAAGTCAGAGGCCTCGGTGGGGGGTGTGGGGAGAGAGAAAAGGGGGGAAGGAAGAAGGAGAGAAAAAGATGAGGGGAGGAAGGGAAGAAGGAAGAGAAGGGGCTGGAGCGAGGTCAGATAGGGATGAGGGAGAGAAGGTTATTTCTTCTAGACCCAGATAAATGCCCTTAGGAGAAAAACACGGGTTTCCCCTCCTCCCACCTCTCCCGCCAACCTTCTTTTGGGGACAGAGGGGACGGTCGGTTCCAAAAGACCAGGGGAAAGGCAAGTCCCCCTAAGTGAATGTTGTGCAGAGCAGACTTGCTTCGAGAAGAAACTACATTTGGGTCACCTGAACCCAAAGACATCAACCTGTGTCTGAACCTGATGGGGTTCCACGAGCCCCTGAGGCTTCAGGGTGGAAGTGAGCATCAGGGAACATCCATGTGCTTCCCTGAGTGCCTGTGGGCCCTTCCCAAACAGCACTGGAGTCCACGACGGAAACAGCCCACGCGGCCGCAGGGTTAAGCTTCTGAGTCAAGGGCCCCTTTGGATCTCAGCCTCGCCGGACCTTGGCAGGGTCCTTCATTCCGTTCTGCATTTCCTCATCTGCGAACCAGCTGTGTTGCTGATCTCACAGTCCTCACCCAAAGGGAGGGCCGCGTCTGATGGTGGAGGCGCGGATGGCTTCCTGTCGGCTGCAGGGTAGAATATCGGGTGCAACGCTATTGATTCTCGAATGGGGTGTCTGACTGTGACTGCCACTGTGCCACCACCTCAGAGAGGTCGCCTTGCTGGTAGAGGATGGTTTTTGTGACTTGGTAGCCTCCAGACTTCCCTTTTGGCCCTTCAGGGAGGCTCTTCCTGTGTAGAGACATGTTGAGGCAGCCACCGAGCAGAGTCTGGGCTTCTGGCTCCGGTGACCAACTGGTCTGTGGCCTTGGGTCAGCCCCCACAGTTGAGCAAGTTGAACTTGAACGCGGCACGAGGTGGCACACAGTTCATCTCCGGCACTCATTGAATGTGAGATCATTCCCGACAGTGTTGTGTGGGTCTTTTTATTTATTTATTTTTTTGCTATTTGGGTCACACCTGTGATGCTCAGGGGTTTCTCCTGGCTCTGCACTCAGGAATCACTCCTGGCGGTGCCCAGGGGACCATATGGGATGCTGGGAATCGAATCCGGGTCGGCCACGTGCAAGGCAAACGCCCTACCCTCTGTGCTATTGCTCCAGCCCCAAGAACCTAAGTTCTTAAGAGGCCACAGCACAGCTGCTGTTTCTGTCTCGCTTCCAGTGCTGGTTCCAGGGAACAGAGGGGTTCATACTTTTATCCAATTCCTTCTGCCATGCTCTCTGAACAGCGAATACCGACGAGGCAGGAAGAGACAGAACCATCTCAGGTGGACCCAGGAATAACCGGAGAGCAAGAGTTGATCTCTAATTGCTCCCACTCGGAATTTAAGGGCTGGAGGCTAAACTGAATTTTCAGCAGCTTTTCTAAGAACCTCCCAAATGAGGATGAAATAATAATGACCAAAAAAATACTTTTAGTCCTCTCTCTCTCTGTGTATCACGGTCACGGTCCTCCCGTTGTTCATCGATTTGCTCGAGCGGGCCCAGTAACATTGTGAGACGTGTTACTGTGTTTGGCATCTCGAATATGCCACAGGTAGCTTGCCAGGCTTTGCCGTGTGGGCGAGATACTCTCGGTAGCTTGCCGGGCTCTCCAAGAGGGGTGGAGGAATTGAACCCGGGTCAGTCCAGTTGGCTGCATGCAAGGCAAATGCCCTACCACTGTGCTGTTGCTCCAGCCCATTGTTCTGTGTATATATATACATATATCTCCATATTATATTCCATAAACATATGAAATATACACACATATGTATACAGAGGTATGCTGGCTACTTAATTTTATTTATTTATTGCTTCTTGGATCACACCCAGCGATGCACAGGGGTTACTACTCCTGGTTGCAGAACTGCACTCAGGAACTACTCCTGGCGGTGCTCAGGGGACCATATGGGATGCTGGGAACCGAACCCAGGTCGGCCACATGCAAGGCGAATGCCCTACTCGCGGTACTATCACTCCAGCCCAGCCGGTTATTTTAGTTATAAGAGCAAGTTCTATATTAAGGGCTGGAGCGATAGCACATTGGGTAGGGCGTTTGCCTTGCACGCAGCCAACTTGAATTCGATTCTTCCATCCCACTTGGAGAGCCTGGCAAGCTACCGAGAGTATCTCGCCCACACGGCAGAGCCTGGCAAGCTCCCCGTGACGTATTCGAGATGCCAGAAACAGTAAGAACAAGTCTCACAATGGAGACATTACTGGTGCCTGCTTAAGCAAATAAGCAAATCGATGAGGACAGTGCCACAGTGCATCACTGAGTGTGATCCAACAAGCAATAAGTAAAATAAAGTAGCCAGCATACTTCTGTAGACTATATTAAGGAGGAACCAATATGCCGAATGCTGTTGATTCACAGGGGGAAAAAATTTTTTTTTTTGCTTTGACCAAAATTTACTCTCTTCTTCTAGAATGTTTCCATTCCACTGGTTCCATCTTTCACCCGGCAAGCTTGCCTCTTGAACACAGAAGGGGAAAAGGAGCAATTACAGAGCTGCCACCCTGTTCATACCCCACCCCTCCCCCGTGGCCACACGCGCTGGCTTCTGTCACCTGAACAAGTTAGCAATTCTAGTTCTTCCTCTTCACTATTCAACACACGGCTCCAACTTTCCCCTCCAAGCCCTTCCCGGGCTCCCTGGGATGTTCCCTGCAGTTGGCAATGGGTCATCATGTTGTCACTTCTCTCCCAGGGAAACACCCCCAGAGAGAAATTCTTGGAATTCTCATCCCACTCCAGGTCGGCTCCATCTTCTGACCCGTTTTTTCTCTGTCCCTCCTGGCGCCCTCTCATGGAGCACTCACTGGCCGCCTGGCCTCCCCATCCACCCCTCCTCCCTGGGACACTTTCCCTGGGCTCCCCTTCTGACTCAGGCCTGTTGTTCCTTTTCCCGCGGGTGCTCCTTCCTCCTTTCCTGACCTCTAAACGCCGCAACGTCCCACTCACCCACCACATGACCTCAGAGTGTGGAGGTTGAGAGCTGGAAATACTTGTCATGGGGATCCTCAATCCCGCCATCCACTGCCTACTCGACACGCCTCCCTGGCAACGGAGGGCACATCAGTCACTCAGCAGACTGTCCCACACGGAACTCCTGAATGACAACCCCTTGCGTTTCCTTATCTTGACTCGTCCTCACATCCATGACACTCTTCCCACAGGCTTATGCCCGGATCTTACCATCATGGTCGCCTCCGCATTCTCTCTCCAATGCCCACGTGTCCGGAACTCCTGCTGGCCCCTTTCCAACCCCTCCTCTGCCCTCTGCCCTCTGTCCTGTAACTGCCTGAGCAGAGAGACATGGTGACGACCAGTTGGCGGGTGTCCTGGCTCCGGCCACCACCTCCCTTTAACCCATTCTCCCCAGCACAGTGGCCATAAAAACCCTTCTAAAGAGACAATGACTCTGAGTTCTAAATGCCTCGTAAGCACACTGCCACAGGGAATCAGTGAGGTTCACAAGACACAGAACATTTCTGTGGTCCTACCTCACCTGACGGTCAAGTAATCTTAGAGTTCTAGCATTTAAATGCTTGGGGCTGGAATGACAGCACAGCAGGTCCGGGCGTTTGTCTTGCACGCGGCCGACCTGGGTTCAATTCCCAGTATCCCAGATGGTCCCCAGAGCACTGCTAGGAGTAATTCCTGAGTGCATGAACCAGGAGTAACCCCTGCGCATCGCCAGATGTGACCCAAAAAGGAAAAAAAAAAACCCCTATGCTTGTCACATGACCCACGCTGACGTCATCTGTGGCAACAATCAAATCTGTTTAGTGTATTTCAGTTCCCATACTTGACACAAAACAGCATGACTTTTTTAAAAGATGGATTACTATTCTGGATGATAAATACATCTTTACGTTAATTTTAAATATTTTTTTCTACTATTATTTAATTAAATTTTTTTTAAATATTTTTATTAGTGAGACATCATGAGGTACAGTTGTAGACATACAAATTTTTGTGCTTGGGTTTCAATTATACAATGATCAAATACCCATCCCTCCACCAGTGCCCATTTCCCACCACCATGGATCCCAGTATCCCTCCCACCCCCCCATCTTCCCCATCCCACCCTGCCTCTGGCAGGGCAATCCCTTTTGTTCTCTCTCTCCTTTTGGGTGTTGTGGTCTGCCAAAGAGGCTTTGAGTGGCAAACATGTTCGGTCTATAGTCTACTCTCATCATGCATTTCCCATCCTGAGAGGAGCCTCCCAACACCCTTTATTTGGTGCTCCCTTCTCTATCTGAGCTGCCTTTCCCCCTAGCATGTGCGGCTGGCCTCTAAGCCATGGAGCAAAATTCCTGGTACTAATCTCGGCCACTCTTGGGTGTTAGTCTCCTATTTTGTTACTTTATGTTCCCCAGATGAATGCAATCTTTCTACATCTGTCCCTCTCTTTCTGACTCTTTTCGCTTAACATGATACTTTCCATGTAGTACCACTTGTATGTAAATTTCATGACTTCATCTTTTCTAACAGCTACATAGTACTCCATTGTGTAGATGTACCAAAGTTTCTTTAACCAGTCATCTGTTCTTGGAAAAACATGGAACGCTTCAAGAATTTGCGTGTCATTGTTGCGCAGGGGCCATGCTAATCTTCTCTGTATCGTTCCAATTTTAGTATATGTGCTGCCAAAGCGAGCACTAATTTTAAATTTTTGAGTCAGAGATACCTAGTTTACAAAGCTGTTCACTGGTCAGGTTTCAATGATCCAACAATGATGATCCATAAACGATGATCCAACACCCGTCTCTCCACTAGTGTCCATTTTCCACCACCAATGACTCCGGTTTCCCTCTCGCTGACACCTGTCATCACCCAATTTTCACATTTTAAAGTGAAAGGAAACCTGGATGGAAATTCTCTGATTTTCTTCCTGACTTCCAGCAGCTGAGTACAGTGGTGAGACTGTGGCTGAGAGACTCTCCAGAGACCACTGGAAGGCAAGCTCAAGATCAAAGAGTTGCCACATGGGTAGAATCAGAGTTTTAACTTTTTTTTTTCTTTTTGGGTCACACCCAGCGATGCTCAGGGGTTGCTCCTGGCTCTGCACTCAGGAATTACTCCTGGCGGTCCTCGGGGGACCCAGTGAGATGACGGGGATTGAACCCAAGTTGGCCACGTGCAAGGCAAATGCCCTCCCCGCTGTGCTATCGCTCCAGCCCCAGAGTTTTAACTTTTGACTGGAGACCCCAAAGGGCGATGAAAAATGTAGGATGGAGCCAGTCACCTGTCAGGGAAGCCTCGAGAGCCGAGGTGAAGGAGGGGGAAGCTGCTTGCTGCTGGAATTGGTGAGGGAAACAGTGACACGGCCATCCTAACCCTTTCCCCTTTCCTCCCCTACAGACAGCCAGTAAATCCTGTGTTGCTAAATTTGGTGAGTACCTGGTCTTGTGTGTCCTCATTTTGCTTTGTGGAGTATCTGCAAGCCTGGAACCCCTTATCACTGAGCTAGGAGTGAGGCATGACCCTTACAGGCCTGGGAACTGGAGGACCGGGACCCCATCTGAGTTCTGTGTTGTCAGGAGCACAGCACGTTTCGGGTCTTACACTCTCTTCCTCGGCTGAAGTCTACTCCTCACCTTTCCTCTCGGGAGCCCAGCCAAGGATGTGGGGTGAAGTCTTTTTTTTCCAAGTGGATACAAGAGGAACAGAGATGGACTGGTAATCTGCCCTGCCCCGTTTTCCTCTTAGTTCTTCCACTGTGACTCTGAGGGCTCCTTTGAGTTTAAGATAGTGTTCGAACACCCACGTAAATGCAGTTTCCGGCTCGGCGCAGAGCCAATGCTTGTGGAGTTCACTGCAGGGCTCGAGCTGGCAGGCTTCCTTGACTTCTGGGGATTAGGGGCCCACTGGGGGGGTTCATCTCTGCCTGATTTCCTCAAGAATGGGGTCAACTCAGTATGTCTGACATTTCCTCTGCCTATGGCAAAAATTGAGGAGCAATGTGATGCTAAGGTGACCAGTAAGAGACCCTGACCATAAGTTAGTAGGACAACCACTGTCCCCTTCTTGCCTATCACATGGGGAGCAGGAGGAAATTTAGTGGAGAAAATTGCTTCTGCCAGCATCTCCCTCCCATTCGCCTTCAGAGTCCACCCCCAAAGCCCTCCATGGGTCACTTACGTGACAAGAATGACATCAGTGCAGATGCATTCCAGATACCAAAGCTCTTTCTCATTACGAAAGACTTTCTCCCCTCCTTCCAAAACACGTAGGGAAAATCACAGGACAGATCGGGTACATATCTGGTTGGTTAAAGCACGGCCCAAGTGGACAGAGAGGTTGGGACAATCCGGGCATTATCTTTATGGACTCCTGACTTTAGTAGTGGGCTGGAGCGATAGCACAGCAGTAGAGCGTTTGCCTTGCACGCAGCCAACAAGGCTGACCCGAGTTCGATTCCTCCGCCCCTCTTGGAGAGCCCGGCAAGCTACCGAGAGTATCTCGCCCGCACGGCAGAGCCTGGCAAGCTCCCTGTGACGTATTCGATATGCCAGACACAGTAAGAACAAAGTCTCCAATGGAGACGTTACTGGGCCCGCTCGAGCAAATCGGTGAACAACAGGAGGACAGTGACAGTGACAGTGACTTTAGTAGTGGTTTTAGGAAGACTGGATCAAAGCTGTCAGAGGGTGTCACTCAAAATGCTTATGATGCACAAGGAAGAAAGCCACCAGTCAGAAACAACTCACTCATTCTGGGAGCAGAGAAGCACCGATCAGGAACAGCTCACTGAAGTCATGCTAGTACCAGGACCTCTCTGAGGGGGGCATACACAAGCCAAGAGCGAAAGACACAAGAACCCAGGAGATGAACAGACGGCAACTTCATTAGTGACACACTAGCTGGGGACCGCTTTTTCAAAGGGAAAAGGGACGGGACGGAAGGGGGGAAGGGGGGAGCACTTCAGGAAAGGACAGGGACCAATTAGGAAGCTCTCCCTGGGCAAGGGGCTGGGAGTAAGAAGAGTTTTCACAAACAACACATGAACACACACTCCACACGAAATTCTCAAGTCATCCCAGCCCTGGGGAGACTCTTCTCCTTCCTCTCTGCTACATCTCTACTACGTGTACACTTCCTTCCCAGACACCAACTGCCATGAGAGTGCTCCCAAATTAACACACATTTCTAGTTCATTTTCTTAGAACTCCTTAAGCAAGAGATTTATTTATTTATTTTTAAATTTTTATTAGTGAGACACCATGAGGTACAGTTGTAGACTTACAAACTTTTGTGCTTGGGTTTCAGTTATACAATGATCAAATACCCATCCCTCCACCAGTGCCCATTTCCCACCACCACGGGTCCCAGCATCCCTCCCACCCCCTATCCCCCCCATCCCACCCTGCCTCTGTGGCAGGGCATTCCCTTTTGTTCTCTCTCTCCTTTTGGGTGCTGTGGTTTGCAAAAGAGGCATTGAGTGGCAATCATGCTTGGTCTAGAGTCTACTTTCAGCATGCTTCTCCCATCCTGGGAGGATCCTCCCAACACCCTTTATTTGGTGCTCCCTTCTCTATCTGAGCTGCCTTTCCCCCTAGCATGTGCGGCTGGCCTCTAAGCCATGGAGCAAAATTCCTGGTACTAATCTCGGCCACTCTTGGGTGTTAGTCTCCTATTTTATTACTTTATGTTCCCCAGATGAATGCAATCTTTCTATATCTATCCCTCTCTTTCTGACTCATTTCGCTTACCATGATACTTTCCATATTGTACCACTTGTATGTAAATTTCATGACTTCATCTTTTCTAACAGCTACATAGTACTCCATTGTGTAGATGTACCAACGTTTCTGTACCCAGTCATCTGTTCTCGGGCACTCAGGTTTTTTTCCCAGATTCTGGCTATTGTAAAGAGTGCTGCAATGAACAAACAAGCGCAGATGTCACTTCGACTATACTTTTTTGCCTCTCTGGGATATATTCCCAGGAGTGGTATAAGCAAGAGATTTAACTAGGACTTGTCATCTTGTCAACAGTCACTTGTCACTTGTCATCCCATTGATCACCGATTTGCTTGAGCAGGTGCCAGTAACGACTCCATTCATCCCTGTCATGTGCTAGCGTAGCCCAATGGCATATTGGGAGCTCTTTCAAGGTCGGGGAATGAGGGCCATTGTCACTGTTTTTGGCATATTGAATACTCCACGGGTAGCTTGCCAGGCTCTGCCGTGCGGGTGGAATACTCTCGGGAGCCTTTAGGTATAATCATGGTGGGAAAGAACAAGTATCAATCAGGAAAAAAAATAGCCCCTCCTCACTGGTGTGCAGGTCCTGGGAAGAACTGTGTCCATCTATGAGCAGAAGGGAATTATAATCAGGAAGATGAAATCATGAACTAACTATGGTTTTTCTTTCTTCTCCCTCCCTTATAAATTTCCTATAGGACCATTACCCTCCAAGTGGAAACTGTCGTCCTGTGAGTCTCCTTGCATGAATTACACAGATGACTGGAAACTGAGGATACTTCAGGATGGGCTGTATTTAGTTTTTGCTCAAGTGGCTCCGAATACGACCTACCAGGAAGTGGCCCCTTATGAGGTGCGACTTCTAAAAAACCAAGACATCTTACACGTGATCAAGGACAAATCCAAAGTCGAGTATGTAGGAAGGTCTTTTGAACTGCATGCTGAAGATACCATAAACTTGATATTCAATGCGGAACATCAAGTTCTGAAGAATAACAGTTACTTGGGGATCTTCTTAATAGATCATCTCAAATTCACCTCCTAGCGAACTGTTTGTTCTCACCCATTTCCACACATGATGTAGAGTTCTGGGTGGGTGGGTGGATGGGTGGGAGGAAGCAGATTTTCAACACCTTCTCCAGTTTGTCTTGGGACACACACACACACACACAAGCAGAACTCCTCTGCCTGGGAATGTTCTCTCTTGGACTTATCTATAGGACAGAGGAAGGGTCAAAGTCACGTTTCCCCCGGTGGTGGCTAGGCAAAGCCACTGTGCAGTTCCAAAATTAAATGTGTTAGGGCTGATGGAGGGCAGAGAAAGTCCTCAGAGGGTTCTTGTCTAGTCCACCAGTCCCTGAGGGAGAAATGAAGTCTATTTCTATAGTGCCTTAGGAGGAATGCACTGATCCAGGGGAGTAATCTGGCTTCGTCTTCTATTCTGGGCTATTTTTCTTTATTCTTCTATGCTGAGACCCGCAACAAGCAGCTAGAAGGGAAGGTAGCTCCAGATATGCCACGAACATCTGCACTTCAGATGCAGTGATGTTGGAGCCTGGAGAATGTTCTAGAAAACTAGTGGGGAACAGAGTCCCAGGTGGAGAGGAATGGAATTTTCTTTGATCTCCTCATACTCAGGGTGTAGGGGGCTTGACCAAAAGCAGTAGGACAAAGGGGGTCCTTCGCACTACCACATGAGGTGTTGTGACTGGAATGTGTGTCTGAACACTCGCTCTCATTAGTAAAGAGACAATCACTGAGAATCCTGAGACTAAGGCCCCTCATCTTTGCATCATCTCTACTTCATTATGGCATGCAGTGATTTCTTAATCTGAGCTGGCTTCCCGTGTCTTAGTTGCAGAGTATGCTCACTGCTCAAGCTGCAACACTATCAAGTGAAGGAGACATTTAAGCAATGGGAATCTGGAGGCAGAGAGAGCGAGGCTTCACTGGCCTCAGCCTAGAGGAGAGGTTCAAAGCCAGCCGGCGGGCTCCCCACTGCACCAGCTCTGAAGCTGCTGTTTCTGCTGTCACGTGTTTGGTCAGGGCACATGTAGAGGTCAGAGGTCAGGCCTCAAATTCCTTTTTTTTGTTTTTTGCTTTTTGGGTCACACCCAGCAATGCACAGGGGTTACTCCTGGCTCATGCACTCAGGAATCACTCCTGGCGGTGCTCAGGGGAACCTATGGGATGCTGGGAATCGAACCCGGGTTGGTTGCATGCAAGGTAAACACCCTACCCAGCCCCTCGAATCCCTTTTAACCCAAGGAGACCCCAACGGCTGAGCTTTCCTGCCTGGAGTAGGAGGCATAGCCTGACCCAGTCACCCCCCAATCTTCACTTGGAAGAAGTATCTTGATGGAAAGAATGAGTCGCACTGCAACAGCCTGTGAAGGTTCTGGACTCTTGATAACCTGCCGCTTGTCTACTCTTGCTGAGAATCACGTCATAAGATTCAAGTTAACCCAATTTGAAATATTTATGGTTATTTGTAAAACTATGTATTATGTTAACTAATAGTATCCTATAGAAAGCTAATTTAACATGACATGTATCGTAAACGGCAGAGACTGCTCAGGAAAAAAAAAAACCTGCTTAGGCTCTGTTTCTTTTTTAAGAACTCTCTGCTGTCACTGCAGGGCAGAGTGTGCTCCTCCTGTGTTCGTGTGTCTTCTCAGGAATTAAAGCTGCGCCATGTATTTATGGAAACGTGGAGGTGTGCTGGTTTTGTTCTCAACGTGTTCATCCTAGCTCCCGAGAACTCATGTCCCGATTTTCAGGAATTTGTCTAACCTGGTTACTGTATGAGCCATCCAGTCACTTGCATGGTGGGAACATTTGGTACCATGGAAACTAGCAAACGCTGAGAGTCAGGGCTTTTCTTGACAACTGGTACTCTTGGTTTCAAAAGATTTCCATGGGGCTGGAGCAATAGCACAGCAGGGAGGGCATTTGCCTTACACACGGCCGAGACGGGTTCCATCCCCAGCATTCCATAGGGGTCCCCCGAGCAGCGCCAGGAGTAATTCCTGAGAGCAGAGGCAGGAGTAACTCCTATGCATGGCCAGGTATGAACCAAAACACACACACACATCAATCAATCAATCAATCAATCAATCAATCAATCAAAAGATCTCCACTTCCCCCCTCTGCTTTTGTCACATTCTTGGGGAAATCAAGGCAGCCCAGAGAGAGAATGAAACTGACAAGCACCCAGAAAAAACAGTATGACAGGGCCTTCTCAGGGCGCATCCAAGTCTCTGCAGTTACAGTCTGGGGAAAGGCGACTGCAACTTCTCTTACAGTGTTCCAGATGAGGGGATTTCAGCCTTTGTTGATAATATGTGCTGTTCCTTTCTTTCTTTTGTGTGTGTGTTGGTGGTGGGGCTGGGGGTAGTCTGGGCCACACTGTGGTGTGCAGGGATCACTCCTGGCACTGCTCAGAGACTATACACAGTACCAGGGACTGAACCAGGGGTAGCTGCACTAACCACTCTGCCATCTCTACAGCTATTTCTCTACAGAGATGTTAGCATTAAACTGACACTTCATGTGCGTTGGTACACGGGTGGCCAGGTGAGTTACTGGTGGACTTAGTGATCCAGGCCCCAGAGAATAAGAGACATGCAGTGACCCGCCCCCCCCCATTCACATAGGCTCTGGCAGCCAGCAGAGCTGGGTGCAATTAGCTTTGGGTTACAAACACCCCCATTTCTGATGGGTCTGTTCTAACCCCAACGGGCAATTTCATTAGTTGGCACGAAAGGACACGTTTCATGAGAAGCAGCGTCCAAACCCCCACCACTGTGGGGGAGAGGTCTCAGGACAGGGTGGAGAGACTGCAGCACACACACGTACCTGGAAGGCTCTCTCTAGGGGTTAACATGTGACCAGGCCAACGTCACTCATGGCCAATGGATGGAGCCTCTGACCCACGGCGTAGGCCCAGATGTACCACAGTAGAAGCCAGCTGCCTTCTGCAGGCCTAAGTATCTGTTTTAAAAACTAATGATATACAATGGTGTGTGTGTGTGTGTGTGTGTGTGTGTGTGTGTGTGTGTGTGAGAGAGAGAGAGAGAGAAAGAGATGGAGGGGTGTTCTCAAGTGGTGCACAGCAAGCCACTCCCATTCATTCTGAGCCAAGCTGGCCATATCCAGGAGTGCTGGGCAGAAGCAAAGTGAAGGAATCGAACCCAGGACCTTGAGCAATCAAGGCGTGTTCTGTTCATACATATCTCGTGGTATGTGGGGATGACCGTCTCGTGGCCAGATAGGTCATTTCTGCTAATCAGCGCTGGCTGAAAACCACTGACCTCAGCAACTTGACTGAGAACACAGCCCAGGGGGCCAGGCCTGGGAATGTCTTCTGGGAACACCCATTCCCAAGGGAGGCTGGAAGCAATCTCGGATTTCCCAGTCTAGCTAGTGCTCAGTGTGGAGTCTTGCTCTTCTGAATGCCTCCCCCCGAGACTCCAGAGTTGGGACTAAAAGTAATGAAATATGTCTATCGGAAAAGGCCGCCAAGTTGGTATGTGTCTGTTGGGTAACACTGGGTCGTCCTTGTTCCTCCCAAAGGAAACTTAGGTTAAGTGAGCTACTCCCACAACAGTGCCCCTCAGGCACTAATAATCCTATATTGCCTTTCTCTTTCCTTTATGTCATTTGCTTGGTTTATTTATCAATGTCCTTATTGTATAGACACAGGATGACAGTGGGTGCTCTGCTACGCAACATGGGTGTTAATTGACTCCGAAATAATATTCACTCCTGTCACTGTCACCCGTTGTTCATCGATTTTGCTTGAGCTGGCCCAGTAACATTGTGACTATTGTTACTGTGTTTGGCATATCGAATACATCACAGGTAGCTTGCCAGGATTTGCCATGAGGGCGAGATACTCTTGGCAGCTTGCCAGGCTCTCCAAGAGGGGCGGAAGAATCAAACTTGGGTCAACCATGTTGGCCGCTTGCAAGGCAAACGCCCTACCCGCTGTGCTATTGCTCCAGCCCATTTTCTCCTGGGAATCCATATTTACTTGACTTAAGTCAGTTGTCCTTAGTTCCTAGCATTTCAAGTCAAGAGCAGGGTCTCAACGAGGGACTGAATGGAACCAGGGCAAGCTGTGAGCTACCCTGCCATCGAAACGGGCCAGGCCAAGCGCCATAATACTGAACTATACGTTAAGAGCATGGTCATGGACAAACTCTGTCATGACCCAGAAAGAAGTAACTGAATGAAAACCAGGTTGGGGTTAGGAAAGACTAACTTGGCCTAAGGACTGTGGTCTGGAATATATAGCGAGATGTCCCCAGAAGAGTCAACCTTTAAGCTTAATATATATCTCTTACTATGTTCATACAAAATGACATTGCTAGAAATATTGCAATGTTGGAGTGATAGCATAACGGTAGGGCGTTCGCCTTACAAGCGGCCAACATGGCCGACCCGAGTTCGATTCCTCCGCCCCTCTTGGAGAGCCCGGCAAGCTACCGAGAGTATTCGATATGCCAAACACAGTAACAACAAAGAAATATTGTAAGTAGTAAATTTACTATGACTGTTTAAATGGATTACTAACCAGGAAAGGAGAAAGCAATACACCCTGGATGGAATCCCGCCCTTGAGCGGATTCTAGTAATCTGGAGTGCTGAACCCTCAGATGAGATTTTGTCCTTGAGTTAATCTCCTGAAGGAGAGGCTTTACCTCTCTTTGTTGTTATGACGATGTTCAACCCCACCTTTGTATCCCCACGCTTCATGATCTCTATGTAACTATGCTGTAAGGGGGAATAGGGGACTAGACTCTGGGAAGGAGATTCTAAGAAGGAGGAAGTGAGGACCAGACTCTGGAAAGATGCTGAAGACGTTGAAGACTAGATGTTGGGGACGAGAAAGTTGGGACTAGATGCTGAGGACTAGATGATGAGGATGAGAAAGTTGACGATGAGACATTGAAGAGGAGGAAGACAACTGAGACTTTGGAGACTTTGGGACTAGGAGGAGAACCAGATGACGATGACGACTGGAAGTGGAGGACTGTGAGAC